CACACACGCACACACACACACACGCGCCACACACACAACACACAACACACCCCACAACACCCACACAACACACACACACACACACACACACACACACACACACACACACACACACACACACACCACACACACACACACACACATACAACACACCAACACGATACCACACGCACACGCACACACGCACGCACGCATACACACACCCACACACCCACACACACACGACAACGCAACACACACACACACACACACACACGCACACGCACACGCACACGCACGCACAACACGACACGCACGCACGCACGCATACGCACACAACACACACACACACACACAACACACACACACACACACACACAACAGCACACACACACAACACACACACACACACACACACACAACCACAACAGAAAGTAAAGAAAGAAAGAGAGAAACGAGAGAATGAGAAATAATTGGGTAACAGGGAGCAAGCGAGGCAGGCAAACAAACACATCGAACGCACTCACAAATTAAGAACTAAGCATAGAAAAAACACAACTCATCCCGCCTCCTCCTGCTCCTCCCGCTCCCCTCCCTCCCCCTCCCCCCCCTCCCCTCCTCCTCCTCCTCCTCCTCTGCCCTCCTCCTCCTCCTCTCTCCTCCTCTGCCTCCTCCTCCCCCTCTTTCGCCTCCTCCTGCTCTCCTCCTCCTCCCCCTCTCCTCTCCTCCTCCTCTCTCTCCCTCCTCCTCCTCCTCCCCTCCTCCTCCCTCCTCCTCCTCCTCCTCCTCTCCTCCTCCTCTCCTCCCCCTGCCTCCTCCTCCCCCTCGCTCCTCCTCCCTCCTCCCCTCCTCTCCTCCCTCCCCCCCCCTCCCCTCCTCCTCCCCTCTCTCGCCGCAACCCCAAAATGAATAAAGATTTCCATACGGAGTTTCTTGATGGAACTTCCCCTCCCCCCCCCTTATATTTATTCAACGAACAAAAAAGAAGGGAAAAAAAAGAAAGAAAATTTTCCAGACAAGAACAGAGACGTCTTCGAGGAGACAGTTATTATTCCAAAATTATGCCAACAGTTGCAGCTCATTTGCATAAAGCTAACGGGGACAAGCAGCGCCTCTCGAGCTCTGATAACTCTGGATTGGCCGCGGCGGGGGGCGGGGGGGGGGGTACGGGGAGGGGTGTGTGGGTGGGGGGGAGGTTGGGGCACGGGGAGGGGGGAGGTTGATTTTGGTCTTTTTCTTCCTCTTCCTCCTGTGTGTCTGGCTCTTTTCTCTTTCGTTTTCTTTCTTCTCTCTCTCTCTTCTATCTCTCTCTTTTCTTTCTCTCTTCTCTCTTCCCTCTCTCTCTCTCTCTCTCTCTCCTCTCTCTCTCTCATCTCTCACTCACTCACTCACTCACTCACTTCACTCACCTCACTACTCAATCACATCCTCTCTCTCTCTCTCTCTCTCTCTCTCTTCTCATTCTCTCTCTCTCTCTCTCTCCTCTCTCTCTGCTCTCTCTCTCTCTCTCATCTCTCTATTTTCTCTCATCTCGCTTTCCTCTCTCGTCCTCCTCTCTTCTCTCTCCTCTCCGCTCCCATCCTCTTCTCTCTCCTCTTCCTCCTTCTCCTCTTTCCTCTCCTCTCTATCTCTCGTCACTCACGTTCACTCTACCTTCTGTTTCTCCCCCTTTATTCCCTTCCTCGCCTCCTTCCGTCACTCGTCTCTCTCTCCTTCGTTACTCTCTCTCTCTCTCCCTGTCTCTCCTCTCCCTCTGTATTCCTCTCTCTCTCAATCTCTCTTCCTCCTCTCTCTCTCCATCTTCTTTCCTCTCCCCTCTTTCTCTCGGTCTCCTTTCCGATTTCTCTTCACTCTCTCTCTTTATCATCTGTTTCTCGTCTCTCTCCCTTTCATCTTCATTCACTGTCAAAAATCGTCATCTCGACGCATCTCTCATCTCGTCTATCTTCCCCTGTCTCTCTCGGATCCTCCCTCGATCCCACTCATCTCTTATCCTCTCCCTCTCCTGTCCCTGTCCCTTGCCCTCTTTCTCTCTCTTTCTCTCCCTCTTCTCTCCTTTTTTCCTCTTTTTTCTCCCTCTTCTCTCTTGATTTTGGTCTTTTCTTCTCTTCTGTCTGTGTGTCCTTGGCTCTTTCCTTTGTTTTCTTTCTCCTCCTCTCCCTCTCCTTCTCT